ACATGTTTAGGAAGTGTTAAGTATTTCCGTAATTAAACGCACGCGCCTCGCTGCATGTGTGTGTTGGCGGTAATAAGGCGTAGAAATAACAATTTTGCCTATCTCAAAACATGCCATGTTTACCTAACTTTTTGCAAACCTCTAATAATCTTGCCATGCAACTGCAATACTAAGCCATACACAACATCACGTTTTAGACTTACTAGCTTATTACGTACATTTACAGATGATTAATTACAGACTGACACCAATTGTAATTTGCAATAATGGCTTGAGTAATCTACACAACAATGTGATACATAATTATCCTTTTGTTCACTATTCAATGACTGTCATCACTTGATTAATATCTTTACTTACGGAAATGCTTTAAATATAAACACTAGTATATGGCGATCAAAGTGATATGAAGTCCTACTCAGTCTAGTGAAGCAAGTGGCGATTTTGTGTGTTCTTTTTAGAACAAACAAACAAACAAAACAAAGTGCCATTGCAGTTATTATTTTCCGCCATAACAATATTTGACTGTTACCGTTAAGAACACAATTTGCGGTCAGCTAGTTCTAGAAGCTGTTATGAACACAGTTTGTTTTGTTTTGAAAGGTTTCGCCTATCGTGACAATTAAGTTAAGAGTGGGAGGTGACAGCAAATATGCCCTTCCACAGAAAAGTAAACCGCAATGACGACAATGAATGAGTGATTTCGATTTGAAACGTTCCTTTGATAATTAGAATTGCAATTTCTACTTTCTCTCTTTCTATATCCATGATCCTAACTGTGGACATCTGATACGAAATTTAGTTTCTGTTTTTCGCACTTGTTCCATACTCATGGTTTATTGACTATGTGTGAGGTCAAGATGACCGGATATTGGCCAAATTCCTCTTTTAGCCAGTCTTCCTAATGCTGAATAAACTAGACGTGTTTTTAAATGCTGGTTCGCCTTTTAGGCCTGCCACGTGCTTGGTTATAACGCATGCTCAATCGTAAGTGCACGTGTAATCAAAGGTAATCTAAAGTGGACATTTCTTGGGACTCCCATCACGAAGCTATAGATAAACGGTTCTTCTCACAGATTACGGACCGGTATGTTTTCTTCGTTTATCTTCAGACATAGATATGATTCTCTTTACAAATTACTCAGCTACACTTAAGAGGCTGTGGCATAGAATTACAACACACAAAATCATGCTAATGTATTATACAGCCAAGTCCTCCTATTCAGCCTTAATAATTCAAAACAAAATCCTTGTCATTCTAAAACATTACTCGGGCTATGAAGCATTCCGATGATCCATCGGTCTTTGTATTGTGATAAATAGAGGTGTACATTTGATTCGCTTGGCAACATATCAAGGTTGCCTCTCGCTACATAAAACAGGGCACGAAATTAACTTTTTTTCAAGGAGCCATCTTGCTCCTAAATTTTCTAAAGTGGTCGCCAAGTCCAAAAAGTTAAGAGCCATTTTTTTTTTTCAAAAACAAGACGCTTTAGGAAGTGTAACTGGGTTGCATTTATGATAGTGAATATTTCAAAATTGGAAAAAGGAAATGGTAAATTGTATATGTTGCATGGAAACCTAGATATTACAATGGTACATCTTAGGTTCAGTTAAATGTTATACACAGTGAAATTTCTGCAAAATAGAAGATAGGAAAAAATATGCAAGAATCAAGGAAAAGCTGAAGGTTTTGTCAATGTTGATGTGTTAAACTCAAGCAGTTACCTTTCTCGTTGATGTACTTGTTGTTTAGGCAAAATGACTGCCTCCATTTTAAATGTGGAATTGTAAGGCGTATAACGATTTTACTTAAAAGAGTCTGCACACGAGTCAAGCGGCCCATCAGCACTATGGTTATTTCTGGTTTACTTCTGTAGCATGGAGCAACCAGGAGTATTTCCTGCAGTTTCCACTCTAAAAACTGGCAGCCTAAACAGTCTTCTGGTCGACCAAGAATAGGTTCTTCTCTCGTTCGAAAGGCGCGAAGGAAACAAAGCACACACGCATTGTCTTCTGGGTAGCGATTGCGCAATTTAGCCATTTTTCGACGTAGGAGACAGCCCCGTTCGCACTTTATGACTGGGTTCGCCTGCGGCAACCCAGTAATTAAAAACCGGTCGGAAAAGTACGGACTGTTTTGAGCTCGCAATATGCATTGTTAGCAAAAGGGACATTTCATTTCACAATATACAACGTAACGTTTGGAAAATCCAAGAAGGCGGATGTTGACCTGTTTGCTTCGTTGCATTCGTGACGATTTTGCTTAACAGCCCTCATCGTAAGCACCGATTTATATACCTTAAAGCTTTATTTACGGGCAAAATACATTAAGGTAAGATATACAAAATCCAAAGAGTTCTGGTCGGCAACTTGGTGACTAATTTTTGAATTTTGGTCGCCAGCTTAGGAGTATTGTGCGACGTCGAACACTCGCGCAACGAGAAACACATTTCCCTTGCGGTGTATACGAAGTTAACCTTACTCTGGCCACGACCGTCTATCACTGAATTAAAATGCACGCTTACGTGTACCGAGTTTGATAGTGCGGCTTTCCTAGCCATATTGTAACTGTGTGAGTTTCATAATTATTTTCGCCATGCAGTCTTCAGTTACTAGACTATAATAAATTACAATAATTATAAATAGGTTTTTGCTGTCATAATCTCGAAAAACTTTCTAATTTCAGATGGCAGATAAAGACAAGAAGGTAAGACGTCAAACACTCCGCTGTTTTCATAAGATAATAGAGACCTTGCACAAAACATGACGGCGACTACAACGACATAACACTTAATGAGCAGAAAGATGGATCTGCTCGAGCATTATGTAACTTTGTACATTTCGTAGCCGTCCTTTGTAAATCAAAAACATGGCATGATCAATTTACAAGTTTCTGGACAACGTGAACCACTGCGGCTAATTTGTCTAATTTCTATTTTGGAACTGAACGCATTTGCAGCACATTCGACAGGGTCAGCTTTTATACAGATAGACACAATAAATAGATCTACAACCCTGGCAAAATGTCCTGGGAACACTTGACAAAATGACAACTGGTGATTCATTATTTTAAAGTGGGAAGACATTCAGCTTTCCGAGCCCCCTCCTACTCTCCCAAAGTAATGTTGGAATAGTGGGTCTACATTGGATGAATTAACATCAAAATTGTGTTGGGGGTGGGGAGGGGAGGGTGGACAGAAATACCATATGATAGCAAAAGTTCAAAGTATTTCAGGACTTTTGCCGACCAGGATTGTAGATAACTGCGAAATTGTGAAGTGAAATATACAGTTACTAGTAGGCCTTGTCCTCGCCGTTGCCGTCGTGTATGCGTAAGGTCTCTAATAAAACCATTTTAGTTTAATCCTATTTTGTGTGAAAAGTCAAATCTAATTCGGTCGACAGTAAATGGAGTTTTCAGTTTAGACCCATTTAGTGTCTAAAAGAGAGAACCAAATTCCTATTGTCCCACCAAATAAGCAGTATTAGCATAATCCATCTGCATAATTTCACTTAATAGGTTCGTTCAATCATCAGCAAAGTTGAGTTCTTTCTTCAAACGAGGTACTGATTTTCAAATTAGGTCAACATTAACATTTTCTTTGCATATTTTGTTCAAATTCATTTCTCAACTCATTGACAACTATCAAGATCTAAACAATTTCACATCTTATTTTTTTGGATTCCAGGACAAAGGAAAATTAAGTTCATCAGACGAGGATGAAGGCATTCTCGAGGAACAGTTTTCTTGTCTGAGCACCGGGTAAGATAACAGGGCATTTAACCAACCACGACGGCAACGCCGAAGACATTTAAGTTTATCTCTAACCTACGAACGCAAAAATCTAGTTTCATCAATTTTTCTTATCATTAACAGAGTTTCTCAAAAGACAATTTGTAAGACAGCTGAAAGTTCACGCTACTGTTTTGAAAAGAAAGGAAAAGAGATGTACCAAAATGTAACATACGAGCAGAGCCATTGTACTGCCAGTGTTAAAAACCTTTTGGTCATTAAGAAGGTCCCTAATGGTAAGACCTTCAGAGACGAAGCCACGATTGTCAACCGTTATCCCAAAGGTTGGACGTACTTCATAACCTTTTGAGATACTTCTGAATCAAGAACCCGGAAATCGTTGACTCGACGTGATAGTTTGTCTGCTATGTCTAATCTGATCATATTCTAAAGCTGTGCCTGATTTCTTAACTGAAGGTGTTTTTGATCGCATGTTGTATGCAAAAAAGAGAAACATTTCTTTGCAACTTTGCTTCCTCTTTTACATTTAAAGATTTATATGTCATAATGATACTACAAACAACACTTCCTTCAAACAGAATACTTTTTCGGGCAAGAAGAAAATAGTTCTAAACCCAAGTCAATACCTGAAATGCTGTCCTTTAAATACAAGATGAGATAGAGACCCTGTCTTGGAAGTTAAATTTAAATTCATTCTCGGTTGTTCAAAGGCGGTTTTGTTGGAGCAAGCATCACATTATTTATCATTTAAGGCTTAAAATATCCGTTAACGTTCTATTCACCATAAATATTTGTCATGCATTCCCCTTACTAACATAGTTCCATTGTCAGGCTGAGCGGAAAACAGCCAGAAGAGGAAACGGAAGGGGAAGAGGACGACGAAACGGAAGAAGACGCGAAAAAGGAAGAAGAAGAGCAAGAAGAAGAGCAAGAAGAAGAGCAAGAAGAAGAGGAAGAAGAAGAGGAAGAAGAAGAAGAGGAAGAAGAAGAGGAGGAAGATGAAGAAGAAGAACTTGTAGCCCTAGCACTGGCACAAAATGAAACAGAGGCGAGTGGTCTAGATAATAATCATTAGTTGTTTGTGACAAAAACCTGGTGGTAATTCCAAAGCGGCACTGTCTGTGAGTTATCTAACTTTTAGAATAAATATACACCAAAGTTACTAACTTTTTACCTGTACATTGCCTTAACAATGGCTCTTTTAAGAATTAAATGCAATATCTTTTTGTTGTTGTTGTTTAGGAGGACGATCCGTTGCCAGGCTGGACAAAATCAGGAAGAAGGATTCATCAATGCTCTGATCCCGAAGGGCGACACAGCCCAGTAGTGTAAGAGATGCATACACAATGGTTATAAACTACAGTACATTGTTTGGCAACATATAAAACGAGAACTCTGTTGAAAAGGTGCAGCTGCAAACGCCTATTTAAAAGTCTCAAGGACCTAAAACAGGATGTGAAGGTGGCGCATGGCCGAGTGGTTAAGGGTGCTGGTTTTGAAATCTGAAAACTCGGTAGTCCCGAATTCAACTCCTCGACCGCGTTGTGTAAATAGCCAACTGGTCAGCCTCCTACCAGTTGGGAATCTTAATAGTTTAAGTTCTATTTGCAATATTTGTTTATTTATTTACAGTGTTCCTAATACATTTGGCGCTTAAATTAAGTTATTTATTGTTATTTATTTATTTATAAGTGGGGGCAGTTGTAAATTGTGTGTTTGTATTAACTCAAAGATTCCCAATTACACTTTTCTTTTCTGAATTTACTTGTGATGCAAAGTAGAATAACGAAAAATTTTTAAAAAAATACAGAAAAGCAGTCCTGGTACCAAAGGTTTTCTTTCTGTTTTCTTCTTATTTGATCGAAAGAGAAAAAAACTTCTATAACCAGGTTATTGACGATCATTATTCTCACTGTGGTCTTGGTAGGTGTGGAAGGGAGTCTACCTCTTTTTCATCCGCTATGTCGCGAGATAGTAACAAATTTAAAAAATAAATGACTCTAGTGTTTTTAATGTCCTGTTACAGAGGTGTTGCTTGCCCGATATTATACGAAGGAGATCCAGGAGATCCTCAGGTGGGTAGTTACAAACTTTTGTTACCTTTCTTTCGAGCCAGAATATGACCTTAACAACAAATGCTGTAAGTGTACCAGCCTGATTTTACTGTACAGTAGATGATTAAAACTAAACGCAAGACAATTTCAGGCAAAAATTACAAAACATCCTAAATCTCTTCAGCTTTTTAAAAGTGTTCGCAAGGAATAAATCCCTGGGGTGGTAGTGTTGAAAACATATATCAAATTAAAAAAAAATTAGCCAGAACCCTTACTTACTGGAACTTCAAATGAACCCGAACGATTACGTGACAAATATCAAGCATTACAAGGCTAATGGAAAAAAAAACGCATTGACTTCAGAAAGCATTGCCATGTTTTAGAGGGAAGGTACAGGCTCCCATAAATTTTTTTTTGGGGGGGGGGGATTTTTCTATCAACGATCTTTGCGGTTTTGTTATAGAAACATGACAGTACTTATCTTTTGTTCAGTTTGCATAATTATAATTGCTAATAAGCACAGTAGTGAGAATTTAATCAATACCGACAATGCTAGAAAACAAAAATACTGATTCACTTTACATGTTAAACTTTGTTTAAATTTTTCTACTACAGGAGCCTGATGTGGATGCAGCAATCTTAATATTTATAATAATGTATCTCATATTCAAGATGTAAATAAATTTGCTTTCTTTTCTAGTTCACGTTGTCATGTGTTTTTGGGCATATGCTTTAATACTACGAATAGCAAACAAAGATTATTAGTGCGCGTTCGACACCTTCAATAGCTTGAACGATTTCATTAGCCGACATTCAACCCTTATTTATTGTTAAAATTACCCTTTTTTTATGTATTACTCTTCGTTGGCTGTAGGTGATTTTATTCAGAACACAAAGTAAGGAGTGACTGGATACCCGAAGTTTTACTGGCAGTTATCATATGGTTAGCAAGAAAGGATTCACTCTATAAACCACGATTTGTTTAGAGTGGAGTTGATATGCCGGGAGACAATTTCCAAAGATGAAAAATAAAATATCTATATTTGCCTTCAAACTTCACACAAAGAAACTTCTTTGTGAAGGTGCAAATCTTCTTCATATAGTGTTCTAAGCAGCTAAAAGCACGAATATTTGCAATCGCGTGCTCGTTTGATGTAAACAAACTACGTGCTACTAGCGAGTGATTCGAATCGGCTGTGATCTTTTCAACGCCTGGCTAAGGTTTGCTTTGCTGGTAAATAGAAGAACACAGTATTTGCATTGCTGTTTTTTGATACTTATTTCAGGCTTGCTTTTATAGATCTTAGCTTTTAAGGTTCCAACTAGGCTGGACTTGGACTGAGTCAGTGTGTCGCAACTAAATCGAGAAGCCACTGAAATTCAGCTGTTCCCACAGTTCAACACCCCAAAGCCAAATCCCTTCAAAGTTGTGTTCTTGAGCGAAATCAAAATAATTGCCCAAGTTATACAGCAAATGCTCATCATCTTTCATCTCGGACCACGTTAAAGTTGATTTGTACGGTTCAGAAGTGGCACATATTTCACTCAAGCTTTGATACGTTAAATGAAATTTCTAAACATTGGCTTCAAATGGGAAACTAACAGACATATACTTGCCAAGAAATATCCACGGGCCAGTGTCCACGTTACCCTGAACCAGCGGTTCGCGTGATGCATTACAAAAATGTGACGTCATTGGTCGATAAGTGATGAACGAAAAGACTGAAGCGTTGGGTTTAGCACTTACGCGACTCACACGCGAGAAAACACGCAAGTGTGCGCGTGGCGTTCCACAAACACAATTCTGTATTGACGTCTTTAGCGATTCGGAGGACAGGACTCATGTAGCCTGTCGTGCGCCTGAATTCGAAATGAAACCTTAGATGATTCGCACAGAAAAAAAGATCGTCTATACTTTAATAACTTGTCCCACCAAATTACTGCTAAAAAGAGGTATTATAAGACAACGTTAACGCGACAGTAATGTGACCACTCAAGTCAACACACGACCAGCCGCTTCAAAGTGTGTGACACGGATATTTGTACGAGATAAACTACGAAAATATAATTCAAGTGTACATTCAGTGTCGGCACGAGATAAAGTGAGATTTCGTTGTCAAAGATAAGTGTTACAAGAGNCCTTCAAAGTTGTGTTCTTGAGCGAAATCAAAATAATTGCCCAAGTTATACAGCAAATGCTCATCATCTTGCATCTCGGACCACGTTAAAGTTGATTTGCACGGTTCAGAAGTGGCACATATTTCACTCAGGCTTTGATATGTCAAATGAAATTTCTAAACATTGGCTTCAAATGGGTAACTAACAGACACATACTTGCCAAGAAATATCCACGGGCAAGAGTTCACGTTACCCTTGACCAGCGGTTCGCTTCATGCATAAAAAATGTGACGTCATTGGTCGATAAGTGATGAACCAGGCCTGTTGATGAACGAAAAGACTGAAGCGTTGGATTTAGCACTCACGCGACTCACCCGCGAGAACACACACAAGTGTGCGCGAGGTAAATATGCGTTCTTCAAACACAATAATTCTGTATTGACTCATGTAGCCTGTCCTACGCCTGAATTTCAAATGAATCCTTAGATGATTCGCGCAGAAAAAAAGATCGTCTATACTTTATTAGTAGAATTCTACTAGTATACTAATGCAAATGCTGCAATCTGATTGGCTGACCTACTCGTATACTATCAGCCGTTAGAGTGCAGTGCAGTGGCTGTCGGTTGTCCACGAAATGCGACGTTTTATCGTTTTTCTGAAGTTTTGGAAGAAAGTTTACATGTAAATGGGTAATTAAATTCCTGAGAAGACTAAAAGCGGGACATTAAAGAACTCTTGACTTTAAAAACTTGAAATTATTGAAAAAACCGGGTGCGCGCGCGTAAACAACTGCAAATTTACCGAGGACAATTCTATACGTGCGATTTTGTTAAAGCGTAAAATTCAATAAAGCGTTGAAAAATAATTGGAAACCGTTATTTGCGTTAATTTCAGTTAGAATTCTACTAAAACAATTAGACTATTCGCTCTCGATTTCTATGAGGCGAATAGAAATCTCGAGCTCATAATCTAATTGTTTAAATAGGAAACTTGTCCCACTAAATTACCTCTAAAAAGAGGTATCATAACACAACGTTAACGCGACAGTAATGTGACCACTCAAGTCAACATACGACCAGCCGCTTCAAAGCGTGTGACACGGATATTTGTATGAGATAAACTACGAAAATATAATTCACGTGTACATTCAGTGTCGGCACGAGATAAAGTGAGATTTCGTTGTCAAAGATAAGTGTTACAAGAGTACAATCGCGATACGAGTTTACCCGCTATGGTCTTTAATAAGCATGTTTATAGACCGAGACAAGTCGTTCATTAGTATGCAAAAGGAAGGTCTACATTCTCCGCTTTGTTAACGGTTTAGTCAACACATATCAACACTCTATCAAGCGATGCAGTATACACCAACATAAGCTTCACCACTGTATGAAAAACGCGCCGTCATTAGTGGAGGGATAAGAAGCCCTTGAGCCATTGAGTAAAAGAGGAAGTACATTCACAATACCTGTGAACGCCGCACTCTCGGAACTTATCCCTTGGCAGTTTTCATTAATATTGTACTCATTTAATTGCCTCTCCGATCTGCTTTATGTCCAGTCATAAGTCAATCGGTCCCTTACTCATTGTTTGCTATATGACTCATTTTCAGGGCAAAAACCCCGCATTCTAATTTTTAATGTTATGCAAATTGCTGGTAAAAATCCCTCCATCCCGCATATATTAAAATCTAAAATAGGGCTTTATCCCAGATAATATCGGCTTCCAATAAAGAACTAAACAAACACAAATATATTGTGCTCAATTCTAGAAGCCCAAAGGACGAGCTTTTGATCTATTGTAGGTCTTTGGCAAGCTTGGTAAATGAAAACTCAACTACCCGTTAACTAGCGTTCCAAATTTAAAACAAGACGTCACGTTGTTTACAAAAATTTACAGTCCGCTCATGCAAAACCCGAAACATTATTTTGGTTTCAGTTTCTACATTGTTTATTTACAGAAATCAAGTCATCCAAAATTACTAATAACACCTGAAAACACTACCACTCGGTGATCAAAACGCCCAAGACATATCACAACTTACTCTCGCCAGTAAATCGAAGACAGTTAACAACCAAGTTTGAACCCCAACCTAAAGTTATGTTAACATTACAACGTAATTGGCATAACAAACGTTCTCACAAAACTGGCCTCGGCAGATCCCGTTTTAAAACGAAGGGGTATATCCCTCCATATTCGACAATTTGATATTCACTTCAATATTCAAGTTCCAATTTGACTTCTACTTGCGTCAAGTCATGTTCTCTGGCTGATCTCTGGCACAAACGTTACACGGGCTACAATACGCTCTACACCATTACCGT